GAATCGCTGGCCACAGCAGATGTGCCCTTCAGGCATTTCAACTTTTTTTTTTTTTTTTTTTTTTTTTCTCATGCCAGTATTTATCCCATTTGTTTCCAGAATCAGCTGCAGCTCCCAAATCAGCGTCCATAACTTTCCGCTTTGGAGTATTCAGGACGTGCCTGCTAGGAAAGCATCTTCCTTGTTTACCTGCTCAGACCCCCACAGACTTTCCCTCCGTGCCCTTCCGCCATCCATTTTCTCCTCCTGCAGAGAGCTCCCCTCTACGACGAAGTTGTCCATCACCAGCTCATCTGCTCCATTAACCGCTTACGTTCCAATAACCGCTCTCGGCATCCTAACCGTGCTTTATTTACGCTTTCCTGCAGCCGCAGCCAGAGATGGCTGCTGCCCCAGGCTCCCAGCTCACCCCATAAGGTGCCTTTCCTCCCCCGCCGCGGGAGCGCCTGTGCTAAACTCAGCCCCGCGGGTCTCATCCCCTCCACATCTCCCCGCTCTCCAACTCTCCGTGGCAGCAGAGGACAGCCTTTTTCTCGCTCCCAGGAGGGGACGCAGCCTGCACCGATGAGGACAGTCCTCCACAACGGCCCCGCAGGCAGCGGTCCCGGTCCCACGGCCAAACAGATGGCCCAGCATCGCTGCGGGATCTGGCACTGCCCTGTAGGACCGGGGACTTCCCAGGTGCGCAGAAACTTTGGGCAAGCCCAACGTGCAAATGGCAAGCAGCAAATTAAGAACAACAGAAGCTTTTGGCAAGGCGAACGTGCAAATGGCAAGCAGCAAATTAAGAACAACAGAAGCTTTTGGCAAGGCGAACGTGCAAATGGCAAGCAGCAAATTAAGAACAACAGAAACTTTGGGCAAGGCGAACGTGCAAATGGCAAGCAGCAAATTAAGAACAACAGAAGCTTTGGGCAAGGCGAACGTGCAAATGGCAAGCAGCAAATTAAGAACGACGAAAACAGCCCTCCGGAAAAGTAAACTGAAGCAACAGCACCGATGGTTTTAAGAACTGAACCCTGCTATTTCTGAAACGCCTGAGGCTGGGAGCTACATCTCGCCTCCAAGGCCAAAGAAAATGGATGCCAGTAAGGGAGCAACCCCCGTTGCCTCCCTCCCCTTTTATCCTGCCCACAGAACAATAAAAAAATGAGCCAGTTTACTCAGTTACTTCCCTGCATAGTCCTTGTAATTCACTGCTTTTAATATATCACACCTTGCATTGCTGTCATCCCTTTTCCTCACTATTATGACTTTAAAGTTGTTCTGATAAGCAAAAACAAATTTATGGAGGAGCTTTGACTATTGATGTGCCATACTCTTCACATATATCTCCCCCTCTTCTCCAACCAGCCTTTACCTTTCCCAACAAAAGGAGAAAATAAAATCTAGTGGCAAGTGAAACAGTCTTAGTCTCCCCCATCTATTTTTTTTTTTTTTTAATATAGCTTTGGTTTGGTTTTTGTTTAGTTTTGACTTATGCTTTTCTAGATAAAAATAGGTATTTGGGATTTGGGTTGGTTTGTGTTTTTTTTTTTTTTGTTTTGTTTTCTATTTTTATAATGAGTCAGTAAAGATCAAGGGTGAAAGGACCTTCTTTCACTCCCAGCAAGCTCCTGCTTGCTGAGATTCCCCAGCACTTGGGTCTTCAACTCCTTCACAAAAGACCTCCAAACCTGGAGCCCTTTGTCCATTTTCCTGTAGCCAGTTCCTTGTGCCAGTGGCAAGGATTTTCTAGAGGAACCCATGTTGACTAGGTTTTATACCAGATCTGCTCTCTCCTCCCAGCACAGACCTTTCACTGTCTCTAGAGGTGCCTGGGCTGCACGAGGCCCTTGGACACAAAGCACAAGGCTGGGTAGGGAAGGGGCTGGCTACCTGGAGGATGTTAAAAAGCATGCAACACAATCAAAATTCCTTTGCCATTCCCCTCTCAGATCGACATGACCCATCACGTTTACAGCACCTTCAGTGTGCACTTGCAATGTGATAGTATCAATGAGAGAAAGGAAAACATTAATTAAACTTTTGGTGGTTTTATATCTTGCTTTACATCAGCTTTACAGAGTGGATGCGGTGCTGGGACAAAGCAGACATCTGGTTTCCCTTCCCACTCCCACCCCAACAGGCCACCCATATTCATGTATAGGAATAGGTCTTTTTTTTATTATTATTTAAAAAAATAATATCTATCACTTGACAAGCTACCCACTTGACAAGTCTGAGAAATGCCCTGGATAAGCTCTCAGTGTCAGTCCAAGGCAGTGGACTTGGACTAGAGAAACTGTAAATTTGCCTATAGCCAGGCAACGTTCACCGAACATCCCTCCCACCCCACCTACTGCAATGGTGACATTGTATTTGAGACCCCCCTCAAAAAAAAGCCAGCCCATTTCACCAAGCACAAAGAAACAAATCACAGTAACGTTTTAATTTGGGTATTACCTACATTTCAGCCTCAAACTCCTTTACACTAATGTGCTAATCCTATACAATATTGACTTCCCAAGAAGGGGGATTATGCTAATCAGGATTTCTAAAGGATTTACACATGATCCTATATTTACTTTGGAACTTTGTCAGAGTGACAAAGGGAATATGTCACCACCAAGCTGCTACTGCATTTTCTCTGGATTACGAGTCAAGCACCAGCGCTGTCCAAATCTATAGCCACCAAAATGTCTCTCTAGCAGGCAAATCAAAATATTTAGGATCATCTCTTCCCTGCAGATAAAAGGGTAACTGCAACCATCTACTGGGGGTTTCTGAAAGGCACAAACCTCAGTACCTCCACCCAGTAATACTTTAACTGCACTTGTGACTTAAAGATCTTTCAGCTTTCCAAATCAAATGTACGATCTAAATCTGAAAAAGGATGGTCAGGTCTTCAAGAAGCATTGAAACAAAATCAGTAAATTCAAGCAGTACTAAACATATTGATTGATGGCAAGACCCACAAAACACACAGAAATGAAGCATCACAAAGCTATTCAAAAAGCAGTAGAAAAGCACACCTAAGATGTAAAACCAGAAGAATCTCATTTTATTTTAAATTGACTAACAACTTCATATGATGAATCGTACTACATATTTCTCAGCATATAGGATGCTGTGTCACATTTAGTGGAAGGCATCTACTTTTATTTTAAGCTAGGGCTTTAAACTGAATCACCTCAGATGATGTGCAGAGAAGGGTTTTGGTTCAGCGCCTTAAAATCTATAGAAGGGAGATTGCGAGTTTGCAACAGTCCTTGAGTTTCCACATGTCGACATAATCAGGAACACGATGCTGCATCATTACCCAGATGGAGAATGTTCTGTTCTAGAGTCAGCCGAAGCATCAGTGTGTTTATGGGATCCCTGGGAAGCTACAAGTGAAGTTCCTACGCCCGGTAAAATCCCGCAGTAGCTAATCCTTCCCTTCTCCAGGGCTGCCCAGTGAATCTTTGCTCATTCCCTTTCAGAGAGCAGCAGCCTTCCCAGCTTGGATGCCATCTCCCCGCCTGGCAGATGTGCACCAGAGCCGTGCGGGAGCTGCCTGGCTCCAGAGCAAGCCAGCAGCCTGCAGAAAAGGCAAGAGCACGCGTGTTCCGGGCCTTGGGGGCCCCGACAAGAGCCGTAGGTCGCCGAGCACTTTGTGAGCAGTTTCAGGTTCATGTGATCGGATTCCACGACACCCACAGACTCACTGGGAAAAAAAAAAAACTGCAGATGCAAAAAAATATTACCATGTGGGCCTAGTCTACTGCAGAAAAGGAGTGACTGCAGCTGAGGCGTAAGCTGACTCCATGCGAATATTTAGTTTCCAAAAAAGACTAAAAAGAAAAATCAAAGCAGTGTAGGATTTCTGTCTAGACTTAAAGGAAGGATCCATGCAAGGGGTTTACCTTGTTTCGTTACTGATTGGTACTCCAGCTGTACAGAACAGACTTCGGGATGAAAGTGCAAAAGATATTCTGCACCATACTCACGTGGCCATCCTGGGGCAAGTCCACACCATCCCATCCCAGATATACAGAAACATACTTCGTCCACAGATGAACTTTTGTGGATTAGCACAATCCGCTCCTCCAAAAGGGCCCAAAACTACACAGACAGCACAGAATTTCAAAGTACTGAGGGGAGAAACAGCCAATGCAGAAGAGCTATTCTAGGCCCCACATAGCCACAAGACCTGATGTTTTTTTTCTTCTATACCCAGCCCCTCCAAATTTAGCCTGTTCATCCTCAGGAAAAAACCATCTGTTCCAAACAACTCTGCCCCCACTACATTGCAAGCTTTGGTTTCTGTAGCTCTGTGGATTCTGAAATATAAAGAAAAAGTAAAATACTAAGTTTCTTGACAAAAGGAGGAAATCATTAAACATGAGTTCACAACTTGTCTCTTCCCAATTGCTCAGTACAGCGAGCTTAGCACCATGAGGAATTCCTTCATAAGTGAAAATTACTTCCAAGTACTGCTTTTTACCCATCCAGTGACTCCGACACAGACACAGAGTTGTTGACACAATTCTTTTAACAACTACAAAACAGGAAAGGTCTGTAGCCTCAAATTTTGAATTTGCCATTGCTAAATTTAAACCCGTCTGCCTTGCTACAGATTATTGCATAAACCCAACTGCTTATCCCCCTGCATGATCGTTTTGACCCAAGTGGGCTTAAAGCACATTTCTTGGCCCCATTTTCTGCTGCCAGCCTGAAAGGAAGCAAATACCCAAGAAGAGAAGATTAAAGAAGATACGGGGATACTTGAGAACAGGGAAGAGCAGGCTACAGATTTGCTGCTTCTGTGTATCATATCGTTGTTTCAGTTTATTCTAAGATGGGTAAATCAGGTGAGGGACATTTGGTCACGCAAGGGCATGGGCTCTATTCCAAGCCACCTTTGTAATAACTGCAATGCTGCTGAGCACTGTTACAGATATGTTTAAAGAAAGTTCCCACTTGCCTGCATGTTCTTCCCACAACCCAGAAGAGACACTAAACAGAGAATGAAAGGCTCACAGCACCACAGATTTATTATCAACAGACTACAGACAGGCAGAGCAGCGAGCAACAGAAAATGAAAAACAAGGATAAACTCCTTTCCACAAAATAGAAACTATCCTCTCATGAACAGGCAAGGAGATAACTGAAGGAAAACAAAGAGAAGAATTTCAGAAATTCAGGTGATTTTTTTTTTTTTTCTCTCTACGCAGCTACTTTGGCAGCCCAAAGATAAATGGGTTTGATACTCTCTACGTAGCCCTGACATAGACATAGCAGACCCTGTAGCTGCTTCTACGTTCTCTCTTTCCCCCACTATCAAAAGAATCAGTCACAGTCAGAATCCATCCAGCGCTGGTTTAGGTTTCTCTGCACTCAGATGCACTAATGTATTTTGATACAAACTGATAGTTTGTGGAATTGTGTTTTTTTTCTTTACATTCATCTAATAAACATGCCTGCTGTACTCAAGGAAGTATTACATTACAATACACTTGCAACCAAGGTAGCGGATGTGGGGAGCATCACTGACTGAAGTCCATTAATTTATTTTACCTGCAAATTTATTGTAAAACCTGTGAAGCATTGAACAAATATGTCCAACCAGATAGGTGCAACATCAGGATCTCAATATTCCTTGAGCCAGGCCAAGCCAAAACTAAAACACACATAAATCCTAAGAAACTGGTGATAAATTCAGTTGTGGTGCAGTAGCTTAATCAAGCCATTGTAAAAAGACATATTTGGGGTTGATTTTGTTTGTTTGTTTGTTTGTTTTGTTTTCACTCTCCCATGTGCATTATAGATGCATTGCATGAAGTACAGAACTGAGTAGACTGCAGTATGCCAAGACATAATGCCAGTGGGGAGCAGAAACACCCGATCCAAGTTATCAAAGGACAAAAATCCACAATCCTGCTTGGTCAAAAACCAACTGCTCCCTGAAAACGGGTACCTGGGTACTGGTGTCTGGCAAAGCTATCTTGAATCACCGCTCAGCAAATCTCTAGTGCACACGCCTGGCCCTGCTGAAATGACTTGACCTCTCATTTTTACTTCTGTCCAACATTATGCAATCTTTTTGCTACTGCAGTAATGAGAGCAGCTCCCTTCCCGCTTCCATCTTCAGAAAGCATGAAAGTCACATCACACTGGGGTGCCAGTTCCTTCACTGTTTCCCGCAGGACCCTAGAAAAACTGGAAGGAAAGGGAGAGAAGAACAGAACATTTTAGTGGCTGCTTTCTGGTCCGAGATTCTTGTATTTATCTATTAGCAAAGAACCATAACATCAGCCAACATCTTCCACTGGTTCTCCACAGCATCCCTTTCTGTTTGTTTCTCCTCCTATTCATGAAAGAGACAAGTTTCTGTACACGGTCAGCTTTTAATTTCTATTTCTCCACTTGAATATTGTTCAGCATGATGCCAGACATGCTCCTTGCCTTTAGAGATCATAGGGGAGGCTCTCTTCTCCCAACTCAAAAGCTAATGCATCTACTTCTGGACCTTGATCACAAAATATTGACCCAAATCCAAGAACTCAACACACCTTTCCACATGGGACACCCAGATACTGCAGAAATCCCCCAAAGCATTGGAAAATAAAAATTAGAGGAGTAAGTTCACTGAACACCCCAGAGAAAAGAGCCTCCCAGTGGTAACTGGACTTGACTTCGTGATTTTCGATCCTCTGGCTAGGCAAGGGAAATGACAGGATGCAGGGAAATATGTTAGATCTTTATCCCCTCTCTCACTTTTTATCATCTTGGCAGAAAGCTGGTACAGCTCGGTATGTTTTCACAGTGGAAATGAGCAAGCAGCAAAGGGACGTGATACCAAGGTACTCACTGTGGATGAAGCTTGTACAAAGTCCCATCTACTCCTACGGTGATTTGCAAGTGCTCCACACCTCGGTTTTCTCTCTTCTTCTCCACGATAGCCGCCAGGCCTGCCCCACAGAGCTGGGCGGCTCTTTTTGAAACAGCTCCACACACCTCTTTCACGATGATGCTGTCTTCACACGTGCTGTCCAGGCCGAGCTGCTGCAGAATTCGCCGGACTTGGAGGAGGGCGAGCCGGTCGCTGCGCGGAGGGAAACACGCTCAGCGGCGAGGCATGAGGGGAAGCTTTGGCAGGCGTGAAAATGAAAGTCTTACTGCTGAGACTCTGACACGAGTCAAAGGAAATGGGACCACTTCCCCAACTCTAACACTCTCCAGTTCTTTTAAGGCAGATTCCAGCCTGAATTCAGATTGAAAACTCGCTCCTGGCATGCCCTTTGCTATGTTAGACTGTATTTCCAGAAGGCACAAACAGTAATTATTCACCTAACTCCCACAACCATGAGGCAGCTGAGCCAGATCAGCCACCTGACTGTGTTATTGTTGATCTCAAGGCTGAGACACTGCCTTCCAAGGTTTTCAACAGTATAAAGGGTTTCAAATAGCCTGGAAGACCATTGCAATCATGCACAGGTATGAAGGTAAGCACGTATTCACGGAGTATTCATATACCTCTGACCTTATTTTTTAAATAGGTACTAATTTAAGTCCTATAAGAAACACTCCAAGTATAATCATGCTCGATGGTTAAGGCATCCAAGATAACACAGCTGTGTGGATAGGAAATGATAACTCATATCATTACAGAATCATTCTGGAACTCCCCCAGTTCCTCGTTTTTGGCTTTTATTCCTGGGGAAGGGGAGGGGGGGAGGTGCACAAAGAAGAAAACTGTAATTGACTTCTTGAAGGAAAGGGCTCCACATGCTTGCAGTAGATTATTAGATTATTTTCTAGAGGTCCCAGAAGACCTGAAGGATTCAAACCATGTAAATCTCACAACCTTACCTCTCAATCTGAGACAGGAATTTTGTTTCAAATATGCCTCTTTTCCGGAGTGATTCCGAAATCTGTCCTCTGAACAGCAGTCCTTGTTTGGTTAAGTCGATCAAAATTTGCCTTACTATTTCACCTAGGTACATTCCACTGGTCATTTTTTCATACCTGTTGTGTTATAAAAGAAAAAAAAAATGTGCTTTTAAAGAGATGGCATGTTAGCTCTGTTTAACATGGGTGGTACGTACATGCCCTGTCAACTCCCAAAAAAAGCAGTTAAAAGCTTGCAGAGCAATAGTCACTGAACTCCATCTTTCAACCATCACAAATCTGTTGCAGTGACTTCAACTGCAAACATTAATTACAACATATTTACCTAGGCTGAAGGTAACAGAACTAGAAAAAACACTTGCAATATTAAACAGAACATAGTGTTAAAGCCAGAGTCCGCACTGAAGCGGAACTTTTCCCTGTCCCCACCACGCATTCACCAGTGAATCATATGTAATCAATGCTGCCTTTACCAAACAAAGAACAGTCAAGTTCAGTTTATCCTCTTGCAGGAGTTGTATTTTATCTCTGAATAAGCACTCCAAGAGGAGGAACGTAGCAAGGCCTACACTTTGCAGGGAAATCTTAACAGCCGCACTGTTTGGTAACTGCCCTAAGGTGAAAACAGGGCTGTAGTAACAGAAACAACGTACATCTTTGGGATTTTTTTCTGGATATCTGCATTACTTACCATGAACAAGTGAAATGCAATATCAAAATTTCCTTTCTGATTATTCAGTCATTAAGCACATTTTAAAAAGCAGCCAGTGTGTCTGGAAGACTGACTTCATCAGGCTCTTAGCATCAGGACCATCACATTTACCTCTGTTTCCCTGGGTTTAGTGAGCCCTCATCTACTTCTTTATCATACTTTGTTCTGATGTTGTCAATGCAGCCATTGTCACCAAATCCTCCCCATTCTGTATTAATGCACATTTTTCCTTCATTCCCTTCCACTATTTCTATGTTTTTCATGTCCTCCATGTAGCACACATTGCTGCCTGTTCCTGGGGAGAAAGAAATGACAAGGCTTCATCCAGAAAAGTGAAGTAGCAGCTGAAACACATGGAAGATGACTGCAGTGACCATCTTAAAAGATCTTTTCTCCATATCCCAAATTTCCAAGATCTCTCAGTATCTTGCTAACTAGTAATGCTAAGAGTGCTGTAATTCATCACAACAGAATGTTACCAAGTGAAGCGGGTCCTGTGCAGAAAATTTCCAGCACAGAGGAATGAAGACTCCCTGTTACAGGTCAGAAATAACTTTGGCAATCATTGGCAAGGACTGATCAGTCATTGCTGCCAGTCTGGTTGTAATGCACCACAAATCATCTTGCATGACAGCACGCTCCCAAAAGCAAACACTGCCAAGAGCCTCGCAGCCAGTCAAGCAGCTACCAAAGTCTGAAATGATTTGGTGAACAGGGCCTCATCACTTGCAACATGGGTTACATTAACTAATATAAGGACCAGTTCTCCAAACAAAATGAAATAGCTGGTGCACTTAGCCAGTCAGAAGAGTATTTTCCAACTGGGGCTTCAGATGTTACATGCTTAGATGTATTTCTGGCTGAATACCTGGAGGGACCTACTGGGGGAATCATCTCGCAATCCCAAAAAGAATTAATTCAGATTTTTAAAAAAATATTTTCTTGTTCCAAGGCCTAGGACCTGGCTACACAGTAAACATCAATACATTTGTCAAAACAAGGATTCATGCTCTATCTGCTGTTGTCATATTCTTTTATCATGCATACACTTATTAGGCACCATCAGAGACATGATGAAAAGTTCAACAGATTCAGATTCTATTTGCCGTAGCTGTTGTTATGTTCTCTGATGAATACCATGCAAATCTGCCAAGAACCCCAAGTGACTAGTATCACCATATATAAAGCTCAAGTAAAATATGTTGGTTCACAAATTCCAAAATAGGGCGTGAAGCCTAGCACCCGCACACACGCTCTCTTCTAGCAGCGGTCACTTCAATATCGCCGTACCTGCGATAAGGCCGATCTCACAGTTTGGATCCTCATACCCACATGTCATCATTGTCCCCACGGTGTCATTCACCACTGCTACAATGTCCAAGTCAAACTCCTAAAACACAAGTCACAATCAGTAGTGGGGTCCTGGGGGAAGAGGGTGGGTGCATTAAATACACCAAAAAGAGCAGAAAAAAATAGCTCACATTTCTTCTCCTGATGGCCTCTCTCAGCATATCAACAACATCCTCCCCCTCACAGTCTGTTGCCTTGAAACCTTTTGTCCATCCCACAAGTGTTCCCTGAAACAGAAGAGGAATAAAATCATAAGTGAAGACAGAAAGAAGACTGTACATTCCAAGCATCAGTCTTTTCTTGTCTCCAACCACCACCCTGGGTTTTTTGGGTTTGTTTTTTTGTTTGTTTGTTTGTTTTTTTAAATAATGTATTTCCCTGGACAGATTACTGTGAGTGTCTAGTGCAGAGTGTGTGCATGTGTATCTTTGTTACTCAACTGCTGATGGCAGTGACTCCAGGTTTATTCAGCTATTTTTCAAGACACTGCCCACTCAGTGCCTTCTAACACTCTCATTTGGAAAACATTCTCGTCTCACCTCCTGTGCACATAGACATTGCATTATCTGTGGGGAAGACTGTAAAAATTACTTTTTCTGTAAGTAATTAAACACCCAGCAAACATTAATGAACATCTACTGTTAATTTTTGGCTCATTTACTGAAGGATACTTGGTATGATCCCACTACTCCAGGCAACACTAATTTGTTTCTTTTCGGACAGCGACCTGGACTGACAGAAGTAGGTTACATGAAGTGATTAACCTCTCACTTGGTATCTGGCTCTGGACTGCCCAACTAAGGAAAAAAATACAAAAAAAAAAAAACAAAAAAAGGCAACTGGGAGAAAAAGCTGCTTTTAAAAATACCCTTATGTTCTAGTAAAAGACCAAATACACGGGGCAACATATTATGGGACCCTGACGCAGATGTGTCTCACTCAGTTTGCCACCACTGCTGTGGAATTTGTTTCTTCATCATTTGTCAAGACCTAAATACTATGCTGGAGGTTTGGAAGGCATATTGAGCGGTGTCCCCACAAATAACCAAGTCCTACTGCTATACTCTCAACTGTGACCTGAAAATTAAGACAAAGCAGACTAGCTTCTAAACTTAGAAGCTCTTGTGAAACCCACCAGGACTTAAAAAAATTCAATAAAATAGCAGTCTCTTACTTCTCCGATATCTGACATATTTCACTAGAATTAAGCAGCACAACCTCCCCTGCCCCTCATTGGAAATGCATCAAAATAATTGAGAATGATCTCTTCCTGATTTTTTTTTTTATTCTACTTTTTTCTTATATCAGATCTGGAAAGATAAAGATATGATCTGTCAGCCAACCTTCCCAAGCTGAGCAAGCAAGCTCAGTTCTGCCCACTGACACGCAACAAAAAGAAACTAACCCAGTGCAGAAGTTACACAGTCAGAACTGGGCAGCTCAGTTAGGAAAACATCCTGGGATTGTAACTGAGCAAGTGGGAGGCAGCATCTGTTATCTCTTACTATTGAAGAGTTAAGGCAGCGTAAGAGATTCTTGAGCTATTAAAAATATGTAGTCATTTCACTATCATAAGGGTTTAATCTTTATACAACAAAAGCAAGTAGCATCCATCTCTTATCAGATAAAAGAGGTGAAAGTTCTATCTCCCATAGACATAAGGATGATAACTTTCTCATGAAACACAACTAATTTGCACAGCAGAGCAATTAAATCCCCATTAAACAGATGAAATACTCTCTCCAAAGACTAATTTACACACATACATATACATATCTCTCTGTATCTTTTCACCGTTGTAAAATTCTACTTGGAAGAAAGCATTTAGAAGAATAGCTTTTTGCTTGCAATCTCCAAACCAACAGGTCACCCTCACCCATAACGATGTCATTTAGCAAGCAGATGCACATCTGCCATTTGACCCATTCTGTGTTGCAGTTCTTACCTTGTCAATGCTGGCTTGCCTGCATGGGAAGGAGAAGGTGAAGCCCAGAGGCAGTCGAGCACCTTTAATCCCCATATATTCCAAAAAGTCTGCTATGCACTGGACAATATGGTCAAAGAGCTGAAAGGAAAGAAAAGGCATACAAATCTCACAGTAATCCCATGCAACAGGCCTTGGCTGAATCAGTTAAACATTCATTAGAGGTTACCTCTTCCCCCGTCCCTTGCATGATCTCCAAAGGAATGGCAAAGATTTTGTTATACATTCGCACTGATCTTCTCCTTCCACTTCTGATTTTGACCAGCAGAACCCTGAAATTTGTCCCACCAAGATCAAGGGCAAGGAACTTTCCTTTCTCTGTAAGAGAGGGAATGTATTTCATTTTGATGCTTCTTGTAGCACATTTGCCAGTCAGAATGGCATACTCTGCCACACTTCCCCCAGAAACTCCATCTATGCCAGTGACAGCGCACTGCTCCCTATGGCTTTCATCCCATCAGTCTGCTAGCAAGGGGCTGAAGGGCCAGCCAGGTAACACTGCAGGAAGCACTGGTTTGCCAACATAAATCACTCTGGCATTTGCCAGAATAATTGGCATACTCTCCCTGGAAAACAGACAAACAACTTTCCTGAACCACCTCCGGGTGATCAGGAAATGACTTCACCTGTTCCATCTGGTGTCCCACAGACATACGTGGGTAACATCTTCACTGTGGCACTGGCCTGCGTCTCTCGCTTTAGCCCATATTCCAGCTCGCTCCTCATTTTGTTCTTAACTTCTCTGAGGGTCTCCAGGGACAGCAGAAATGGTGCGAGAGCAGCATCGATTCGCTTGCGCTGAGCGGCCAGCCTGTATGCCACCGCCGTGACCATGGCAGCCCCCTTCCCACTGCCGCTCACAGAGAGGAGGAACCGAACATCACAGTTTGGGACCAGCCTTCTCACCACCTTGTGCAGACGTTTGGCGTATCTACAGGAACAAAGAGACTCTCACAAGGCATTTCATGCATGGTTGACTTCCCATGCACTTCCGATACAGGCACACATCCAACGGCACAAGTGCTGAAGCACAGCCAAGAGGAGCACAAGGTCAGAAACTGGCCTGGGAGAGGGGGTACAATGATCCTGATTTCTGGCTATTCTGCAGAACCTGTACCCTTACAGGAACATGAAGATACCTCGAAACAAGTGCCAGTGCCAAGGCAAAGGGACACTGGAGAAACTGTGGAGAGCCACAATCACAAACAGAGGGTGGGAGTCTCCATCTAGAATCAGACTTCCATCCAGTTTGGGCAAGTTTCCCATTCAAAAATGGGGGTGGGAGAGAAAGAAAAGAGAAAACCCACAGGGAACTGCAGGTGCCCTGGAGGCCCTTGAGGCCCTTGAGGAAAGAATTGCTCTTCCCCAGACCCCATTATCCCATGTGTCATGTTGTTCCCACCCCAGGTTGTAAAGCTCCCAAGACAGCCTTGCAATAACTAAACCAGCCTGATCCTCCTCAGCCCACCACATCTCACCCCAACCCTGCACCAAAACCAGCAGTTCTCTGAGAAGCCACACATATATGCAGATGGAGACTCTTGGCAACATCAACATGTGGCCAGCAATTACCAAATCCTCTTCAGTTACTTACTGGGGATGGGTTTTATAGAGTCCCCCATCAATCCCAACAGTGGTTCGCATCCTTAACAGTTTTTTATTCTCTCTCAGTCGAGTCAGTATGGCTGCTAAGGCGGCAGCACAGAGGTTGGCCGAGCGGAAGGAAACGATGGTGCAGACATGCTGAACAGCGATGCAGTCCTCTTCAGAGGGAAACAGGTTCAGCTCTGTAAGGATCTCTTTCGTGTTGCTCAGACCTTCCTTATATCTACCCCAAAGCAAAAGAATACATCATCTAATGCAAGGATATTAAGGCAACACATTTAGCTCAAAAAAAAATGAGAGGAGACCAGGGCACAACCTATCAGGCAGCATCGTAATTGGTTCCCATAAACCAGTAATGTCTTTCCCACACTATTCCCAAAAGTACCCAGGGAAGAGACCGGGCTTTTAATAGGCTGCTCCCTGGGGTTCAGTTTTTGGTGAGACATAGCAATTAGCTAGCCAAGAAGAGAACGGGATAAAATATTTAGTCTATAGAAGGAAAGCACGGGAATAGATGCACAGCTTCACTCAATACAACAAAGAAAATTATTCCTGGAGTGACAGTGAGGACCAGCATTCCTCTTCAAAACACCAGAATCTGTCAGTTTTCCATGTAGTCATCCATTAGCTGAGCCAGAGTCTGTACTACATCTCCACAACCCCACTATTCCCGTATCACAGAAGCGGAAAACTGCAACAATCATCCCACGTACTCACGTTTCCAAAGAGGTTATCTAAACAACCTGCATCTGTGATTGTTAACAATACCTTTGCCACTGTGGTACTTTGCCAAAACTTTATCTTCCACCAATTACTACCTACAGAAAGATCAATTTTTCTCCTAGGCAAAATCAAAAATTAAGTTGAAAAGTTCAGGACTGTTCCCAGTCTTCACAGATTATAATTACACATTCATTATCATTGCTGTGCTTGTGAAAGACTAACAGCCACTCTCAAACCACATATTGCAGGTTCTTACTTTTCCATTGCAGACACATGTTTCATTTCGATCTTGCCCTTAGTAAGCAGAGCTGTTGACACTTTCCCATTGAAGAGTAGACCTTCCTTTGTCATTTTTAGGAGAATGAGTCTTACAAGTTCCCCCAAGTACAGGCTGCTGATCATCTTCTCAAACCTGGAATGGGGCACAGGAAGGATTACAGGTGCTCACCAGCTAGAAAGAGCTAGGAAAAGTTCAAGTGTGAGCATCCTATGTTTTTAGGCAGGCTGATCCCATTTAAGCATGTACAAGAGGGGTCTGGGAGCTACGTTGTAGATGGGATGCCGTCCTGAGGTCCTGGGACCCAGCAACAGCCCCTCGAGATAAGCAAGTGATTAAAGAATTTTCAAAAGACTTGCGAGCAGCTCAGCCAGTAGAAGCAGTTTTGATGAACCAGGCATTAAATATGCCCTTTGTTTACCTTCCTCCTCTCTTTACCCCTCCACAGCGTCATACCAGAGCAACCACCTATTTTTAACTGCAGCAGCAATCCCTTGGCCTGTGAGGCAGGGAGGTGGGAAAGGTACCCACCCTTCCCAGAAAGGAAAGGTCTGGACAGGACAGGACCAGGATTAGGTCAGTTCAGGTTCACTTAACGCGATTCCTGTTCCAAGGGGGCTCCCGGCATACGCTGGAAATGCACTCGGAGAACTCAGACTGCCGAGGCAAATCAGCCAGGGAATCACTTACAGTTGCCTTCCAGGATTGAGAGATCCCAGATCGAGCTCCCGATCAAACTCTGTGCGGAGGTCATCCAAAGCACCGTCATCTCCAAAGGCCCCCCACTCTGTGTTAATGCACATCCTCCCCTCATCACCTTCCACCAGATCGATGTGCCTCATTTCCTCCATGTAGCACGCATTGGTGCCAGTCCCTGTGCATGTTGGAGACAGTGCAGATAAATTACCTGTTTGTTCACGGTTTGCTTTTTATTAAAGTCCACATATTTGGGAATAAGTCAGTATATTGTTTTCGGAAGGAAATATAAATACATAACTCTGCGGTACAGAATGCTAATATAAAGCCACCTGTGCTTGTTAAATAACCATTTCACTGTGAGTGAAAAAATTCTTGAAATTAATCTAAGGCTTGACTCGTTTAAAAACATTTTTTTCTTTTTCAAATGTACTTCTATGTGCCTTAAAAAAGCCACCACGGTGCACGAAGTGGAGACATTGTGGAAAGCATAGCTGATCCCAACTCCCAGATGTGAGAGGAATTCAGCTTTCTCTGGACAGACAGACAGTAATTTTCTATACAGTCAGCAGAAAAGTTTAGTATGCTGGTCACAACTGAACCCAGACAAAATGGGGACTGTGGTATTTGATGGCAATGTGATCAGCATAAAAACAGCTGCTTTACAGAAGGCAGCCAGGCTTGAAAATCTGACCATTGTTTTTTCCATTTTCTTCCTGCTCATTCCTGTACTGGGACAGTCCCTTCTACTCCAGATTTGTTAGGATTAAACAAATGAGGAGGAAAAAACCCTACTTAGTGGACAGAAAAAAATTACCAATTATGAGTCCAACTTCACAGCGCTGGTCATCATATCCACAAGTCATCATGGTTCCCACGGTGTCATTGACCAGTGCCAAAACATCAACGTCTATGTCCTAATAGCATAAAGATGGGTGATTAACAGCAAGAAAGAAAAACACTACTTCCTTTTATAAGACTATCCCCACAACTCTGTGAAGTAACAAACATCCCTGAATTCTCAAGAGCTTGGCCAGCCAGGATCTTTGCTTGCAGGACTCGTTTTTTCCCCCAATCCGACCTCATTTGCCAGAAAAGCCATGTGTTAATGGTTTGAATTTTGTGATATTCCAGCACCTGTGTATCTGTCCTTATGGGCTGCATGATAGGATAACGTTCTACCACCTGAACAGATCCCACCAAATGGTACAGAAAATATACATATATAAATGTAGCTATTCAACACAAGGCCATGCACCAACATCACACGCAAGTAAAAAGCCTTTCCATCAAAGCTGTGCAGTTTTCCTTCTACACTGAGGTAACTTGATAAAGCAAAATCAAAGTTATCAGAGGATTCTTGTAACTCAGATGCCAACACTAGCAGGATCCAGACTTCACCTGGGAAGTCTCTGATCCTTTGTTCCTGCTAACCACAGCAAGACTGATGCAGAGAAAGATGTGAACCAAAATTAAGGCTGGATTTTTACCATGTCAGAAAACAGAAGAATTACCTCTTTACTACAAAGATGCCAAGGTAGGGAAAGATGGTTTGTATTTCTTAGATGGTGTTACCAATCGCATCAAACATGAAAAACAAGGCTTTCCAAAATGTTAAAACATAGCGTTATTCAAAGATATACGCTAGGTTCAAGGGCAGATTTAACTATGCCTTACTGCCGACCTTAAAATTTACAATCACTCCCTCCATCCCACAGCTGGAAGTGGATAAGCAAGCCCTGGTAGGGTTAGGTGTGCCAATTCGAGATGGCAGCTTCCCCCTCCCAACCTTCATCCCACAGGCCAGGCTACGAAACACAGTGTGTACCTGCCTCTTACCAAACAGGTTCACAGCAGGCTCCCTTTAGCTCAGACAGACAGCGAGGCCATACTGGGCCACTGACACAGCCAGCCCAGCCTGCTGTTGCCATCACTGCTAGACTGACCCGGGGCAGCCTGAGTTGCAGCTGCAGGTTCCCTCCCGTGGCTTCAGCTCCAAGGGAGAGGCAGATCTACTAGATACATAGCCATGCTGGACATTTGTTACCGGGTGTCTTTGAAGGATGTCTGACAGCTCCCAAAACAACCCACACACGAAGAGCTGATCTCCCAGGAGGACAATCTGGGGCCACTCGGGTTCACCTCCTACAGGTACAAAACTTGCCTGATACTTCTGGAGGGCCTTGCGCAGGGAGCTGACCACATCCGTGTCCTGAACTCCACGGACTTTGAAGTGTTTCGTCCAGGCAAGAAGAACCCCCTGCAAAGTAACAGCCCAGTGACCCAAAAGCTCCAACTTTAGCATTCAAACCTGCCACAAAGACAGCCAAGACCTAAGTCTGTGGAGAAGCCCCTTATGTCTCTCCACGCATTAAAATGCAGGCCAAAATAAGTCACAGCAGAACACCTCACCTTGGGGTGCCTGTCAGTACAAACACAACTAAACAGGTACAGTAATAAAGTCCCAGTCCTGCAAATGCTTCTCCCTGTGCTTTGTTTAAAGCATGTGTGGCTTTACTGATGCTCATCACAAACTAACAGCGTTAAGCACAAAGCATTTGCAGGACTGGGACCCAAAGCACAGATCCCTAGAAATAAAAGAACGACTAGAATAAGAGGCCACAAAATAATTGCAACCAGCCCTTCATTTCCCCATGTGGCCTCCCAAACAGCTCAGCTACAGGTCTTTCCTATTTAGAATCAACTTTTAAAAAGAAATTCAATGAGAGCAATTAAAAAAATAAACACACTTCTGGACACAAATGTGTTTTACGGTCTAACAGTCTTCACACAAGGGTACATGGTTACTGTGGAACTGGGTATTGATTAAGTAAAAGAATAGCTTTAAATTATAGATCATGTGGCCTTGAGATCAGAAATGAGTGTTTGAATGGTAGTCTACTTAAATGCTAAGTCATCCGTGCCTCCTTCAGAGAGCTATGTAAACATGACCCCAACAGAAAGGCCACAGGGTAACACTCCCATGCAATAGTTTCTCCGAGTCCTGTAAGGCGCTAGGCTTGCCAATTATATTTCTTTTTACATCTTACCTCTTCCAATTTGGTCTGTTTGCATGGAAAAGAAAATGTAAAGCCAAGAGGTAACTTCTTATGCTTCAGGTTTTTGGCCTCCATGAAGTCTAACAGACACTCAGCAACGTAATCAAAGAGCTGCACAAGAAAGGAGAGGACAGAGTCAGGCTGTATCCGGCAGGCATGCGTTCAAGTACAGCACCACCACAGCAGACCCTGCACGCCCTACCTCAGCTCCGTTCCCCTGTATGACCTCCTTGGGTGTGGGGTAAAACTTGCTCTCCAGCTGGCTGCTCTGCTTCCCGTCATCAAACACCTTCACCTGGTGGGCACGAAACTGGGAGCCGCCCAGGTCAACAGCAAGGAAGTCACCCTTCTCTGCAACACAAGCGGGCAACTGTCACCGGTGATGGCCGAGAAGCGTGGCCCCGACATGCCATGCTGAAGGCCACAGCCCAGGGACCCTGCCTCGCCACGGCCACGGGCTCTCCTGCCCCATCACGGCAGGTCCTTATCCTGTGGGCCTGGGAGCAGCACCAGGAAAGCTGGGAGCTGGCAGCCCTAAGCAAGGGTACCAACCAGGTCCCTCCTGTCAGCTTGCTACGTGGCAGCTAATTGAATTTTTATTTAGCAATCTGGTTTTGCCCACCCTGCTCCTTCCACAAACAGCATGTTTTCAAGCTGCAAAGGGCTAAATGTCTCAGGAAGAGAGGCCCAAAGCAACTGCAAAGCCATCCAGAGCACACAGGGGGGCTGCAAAACTGTACACCTGAAATGTGGGGAAATGGGAGTTTAAGAGCATTACCTACATCCAGTAAAGGATGCAGGATTTTCAGTCATATGTTAAGACTTGGCCCTACTGAACAAGTCAGCTTCCAAGTGGGGCAAGACTAATTTGCCACCCAAAGTCAACCAACACAAGCATTTCCAAATGCCTTTAGGTATTTCTGTGAAAGTGCCATTCTGCTTCTCAGTCAGCAGCACTTTTAGCTCAAACACGTTCTTCTCTAGAGGACAACCTCAGACAGGAGGACAGCCTGGCCTCACTGCTACAATAAAACAATTAGCTATATACGCACAGAAAGCCCTTCCCAAAAGGAAAATGCAGTGGTATGTGCATAGCCTTGCGTGATCTTTGTTCCACAGTCCAAACATCTGACTAATTTTTATCAAATCTTGTCCTGAAAGGAAAGGAAGCAGGAAATTCTACCTGTAATACCATGGTCAGATATCATAAAGGTGAGGAGGCAAACTGGGTTACTCAGTATATTGTGACGTTAGTCAGACCATTAATCCCTAAATGATTAAAAACTGATGATGCTCCAAATGGGTCATTTCAAGTAGCAACACTGAGGGCACTGAAAAATCTGAAAGTTCATTGCCATTGCAAATGGGAAAATCCAGCCAAGTTTGAGGTGTTTAAACCTGATGGAAGTTTTGTCTGAAAACAAAATATCCAATAAGGATTTTGCAAGACAGAGAAAATAGAAAAATCAATGTGATACTTAAAACAGGCTTAACTCTGCAGCATTCCCTCGACACAGCAGAAAGGTCATGCAGGCCAGGAGAGCATTGTCCAAAGCTGGCCTGACACTACATGCAATTTTCTAAGTCTCCTGACCTCAAGGGCTCCTTGTTATTTCAGGACAGGGTCAGTGCCGTGTGAGACCTCAGGACCAGTAACAGTCACTGACATAACAAGGGTTAAGCTAATACTTCTTTTTCTTTTACAAAGGTAGCAGCAAAGGGAAGAGTGACAAGTTCCAGCCAGGCAGTTTGAGGGGATCCTATATAATTTCTCCCAGACATCTCTCAGTTCAAGAGACTAGCCTCCAAACATTCCCTTTATGCCATTAAAACCGTTATTTCTCATTTAATAGTAGGAAAATTACCTTCAGAAGGAGCAAATTCCTGTGGAAATGAGGTACAAAGCAAACATTTCTCTTAAGTTTTCTGCACAGTGACCCAGGCCAGACACAGAGACCTGCGCTAATTCATAGACTTGGTTAAACCTGGGAAAACCAGAATTTTCTGTCAGCCTTCACCTCCAGGAGCCAGCTGAGCCAGGAGAGTTATTTTGGATGTGCATACTTCTCCAAACAAGACAGGCTTTTAGATCCTACCTCACCTCACATCCTCCCAGAGCACACCACGGCGCTTTCTCCCTCCCTGTTTAAGTCTCAGGGGCAACTGGAAACAAGGAAGCAGCTGCGGAAGCAGAGCAGGCTGCTTCCTGGTAGACCCCAACCAGAAGCAGATTTTCCCAATGCAGAAGGCAAGGAAGGGCAGGAGGGGATTGCTTTTGAGGGCAACAGAGAAAGCAGTACAGTGTGTGCTGTCAGAAGCCGAGAGGGGACCGCAGCTCCGAGAACGCAACTTTGCTGCCCCCTTTGTAATTTGGGGAGCTTCACTGCAGCACCCTGCTGCGTTCCCTGCAGCCCCGTGAATACCAGGGCCACCAGCACACATGCCCACACCTGCAGCACACTGCACTGCAGGGACTGAGCTGTAGAGGCTGCCCTTGCCGTGTCCAGCCACAGCTCCTGCAGCAAGGCCTGCAACATTTGCAGATGAGAGAGGCTGATTTCTGAGCACTTACTAGGTCCTTTCCTCAAGCAAGCGGCAGTAGATCGAGATCCATCTGGTGCAGGGAAAAAAACCCTCTGCCAGCACTCTCCCAAGCTGTTGTCTCTTCAATACACACCACCTTTCTCAACAGGAGACAGGCAGTAACCCGAAGCCACTGGCTGCCCTGTGTCATTGCTGTGCAGCAACCCGTCATCCTCCTAAACCAGCACTGCTGGGATGGAGCAGGCGGAACTCACCTGAGCCATCGGGAAGCGAGCGCACAAAAGACGGCAGCATTTTGACTGTTGCTGTGGGGTTCGTGTCTCTCCCCAAGCCCTTCACCATCTCAGCCTGGAAGCGAGCCATCACGTCCAGCAAGACATCGTCGGAGAGACGCATGTGATACAGGTACCTGTCCACCTGGAAGGGCGAAAGGTGTCACTTGGGAGGCGTGCGGGCTCCTCAGTGCCCAGCAGCTGCCTGGCACGAGCAGGGCTTTCACACTACAGAAGGACTCTCCTGTGCCTGCTGGGGAGTCTTCCTTTATTTCTGCAAGCAGAGAAAATGCAGGAACTTCCTAGCCACTCGCACTGTCTTTCCAGCCATGAGGAGTGCAGTTTGGCATGAAGGATCTGAAAATTCAGAACTCCAGTTCCAGCAGCACCCCTGCATTACCCTGGACAAGAATTACCGTGCTCACTCCCACCCACTTGATGGACATGAGGCTAAACAGATCCTAAGGAGACAAAATAATTCCTTTCAATTATGTTACAAATTAAAGGTGAGCATACCACCTACGCAAACCCCACTCCTCTGATTCTACAAGTTAATTTAATTTTTGAGCTCAGCAAACCCCACTTCTCTGATCCTACGTGTTCATGTCATTTTTGAGCTGAGCACCTAAATTCCCACAATCATCAGTGCTAGCAAGCTCCAGAACATCAGAACATTTACTCTTATAAAAACTTTGTTTTGAAAATGTTTAATCAAGCCTTGGTGAATTACTGTCAAAAAGTTAGCCATCTTTTCCGATGGCTCAGTAACTTGCCAACATACATAAGCCCACGAGACTTGCTTGAGACCCTGACAAGCTGTTTTTTACTCCATCCTCTCCTCCTACACATGCAATGAACTAGAACTGCAAAGTATCTCGACCTGGTGAGAATTTGACCTCTCTGAGTCAGGTCCAGAAAATGCCATCAGTACCCAAGCGTGTCAGCCACAACCTGAAAACATCTATTCAGCTACTGCTTCACTCCACAGACAATTAGCTTTGTTGGCACACCAGGCTGGAGCTCAAAGCCTTTTTCTCACTCCAGCTCTGCCCTCCATTCTCTTGTGATTCTAGGATTACATCTAAAACACATTTTTGGGTGCAATCAATATCCCTTCTTAAGGGTCTGTAACTCACAGCATACATCAAAATAAAAGCCAGTTCAATTTAAAGGGAATCAAAGGCATCTATGAAGGAGCAGACACTCCTTCAGATAAACTGGTAGAGAAGCTAATCAGTGTTTCTGTACAGCTTCATTCAGGGCAAAACTTAAGGTTTTCTTCTGCAGGACCTCACACTGCTTGCACTGACATTTACCTGCAGGACTGGACACACGGCTGTAACTAAGGTGGCCTCGAGACTGCATAGCTGAGTACAACAAAGGATTAACAAGGCAAAATAAGGATCTGTCAACATCCAAATGCTTTTCCACTGTGGAGCCAGACTTCAGTGCTGTATGAACAAACACGATGCAGACATAATAATTCTGTGCTCCAAACAGCTGGGTGTCCCCTGGAGGGTAATCCATGTGGACATCCTACTCCCCACAGCATGAGACTCAGGGCCAGAGGCGACGAGCAGGGGAGAGAGGTGGGACAGCTTCCAACTCTGGGTTAGTGCAGACACTCAGCTCTTGCATCACAGGCTACATTATTACACGGATTTATCTGTTCAGAGCATCTCACCAGTCAGGAGGTCTGGAGGGTTGGGAGAACATGCACAAAACAAGTCCCGCTGGCAGCAAGGCAGGATTTAAAAGGTAGCATTGTTTAAACAGAGGAGAACGCAGCCTGTAGATAAATTGGCCTCTTCTGCAATTTGGACTGGCCACCTATATTAATGAGGGACAAACTAATTACCTATTCACAGTCCCATTTTAAACTGATGGTCAGCAATGACCCACCTGAAAGAGCCAGGACACTGAAAGTAACTCCAGCAGTTATCTACCAGCAAAACATACACACACAATGGAGAAAGTCTCAAACTACAAGATGCAATTGGCAAGAAGCAGCAGCTGCCTTTGGTACAGCTGTGCCTTGAGAAGGCCATTATTTAGATCTTTCTTTGGAGCCCTCATTTACACAAGCACTTGATCTCCTCCAAGGCTTTTTTGAGGCCAAATCACTGTGGAGGATCCACCATCTGAGCCCAAGCACCAGCACTGCTTTTTTGAGCACACCAAAAAAAAATGACTGGAGACATACAGCACTGACACACTCTCACACAGACTCAAATAACCTTGTGACAGAAGTCTTTGTGCCAAAAAAAAAAAAAAAAAATTAATAAAAATGACCATGTCGGTCTGCAGAGCACTAGATCCCTACTCTCCTCCCCAAAGAAATTGCATTCCTCACCCTGTTTACCTACAACTATAGGAGAAGACAGTCCTCTCCAAGGAACTAGATAAGGCAGAGCCCAGGAAAGCCTGACGACTCTGTAGCCTGATTTACAACCAGAGCAAGGGCCTGCTCACATACCATTTGCTTGTAAACACAGCAATGGCCAGGCTGTGCAATGTCTTGCTACCTCCCTCCCACCGCACAAGGACAGTCCTTGTTTTCAAGTGTCTTGCCTCAGTTATGGAAACAGCACTGTTTTCATGGCAGGGAGGCTCTTGTTCTTGCCAACAGAGAGCAAATAAACCTGGGGAGGGAGAGGTGGGAAGGCATTCTTTCTTTCTAATTAGTGAGAAATCAACTCTGCTCCATACAGGCTACCCTGGGCTCCTTAAAAGAGAACTTAAAGAGCATGTGGTTTCTTACCTTCAGTCAGGGCTAGCTTACACCTAGTAGAAAAATTTTTTTTTTTTAATGGCTTTGCCAGAATCCTTCTGCCCCCTTCTCTCCACTATCCTCACTTCAGGGAACTCCTCCTTCAGCTACACTCTGGATGTTTCTCTGTAGAGCCCACTCTACCCAAACACTGCTCCACAAGGTCTCTCCCTTTTTTCTTAGCAAAAAGTAAGAAGAAATAGTCCTGTCTAGATGAGAGATCTTAGATCAGATCCTCACATAAGAAAAGGGCGTTGGAGTCCCCTTCTGATCATATTAAGCCTTGGGGATAAAAGGGCTATGACCGGGAGACAAAGACATCTGACTATTGAGATACCAGGACCTCTCTTGGAATGCTTCTCTTCAAGGCAGAATTAGTGGAAGAAGCCCTCCTAAGAACAAGCCACTCCATGTTTAAGCAAGGGCACAGAGAAGACAACCTAGTGTTGCTCACTTTGCTGATGAGCTCAGCGGTGCAGGAGGATCTACCCACCAGGACCTTGGATCTCCCGCACTGCCACGCGTCTGCAGCCAGCCCAGCCTCCAGCTGGCTGGAAAACAAGAGGACAGAGCCTGGCAGCAATGGCCTCCAGAAAGCATTCAGTGGAGATGCCAGGAGAACACAAGACCCACGGGAGACATGTCTAGAAACCAGAGGACCTCTGACCCAAGAAGCTTACAGGTCCCACGTGGTCTTACAACAGAGAGCCAGAAAACCCATTACAGTATGGCAATAAAAGTAGATCAGGGAAGAGCAACCATTAGGCAGCTCGCTCCCAGCACTGATGGCTTCAGACCTGGGCCACCTTGAGCTTTTCCAACTGCAATTAAATGTCACATCTCTTCACATCAGAGTGATCAGCCAGGTCTGGACAACCAGAGGCACAGGCACTTCTCCCACACCAACACTAGTTGGAACTGTCTCTTGAGTCCCAAAAGACCTGGCCCAAAGACCGCAGGAGTTTTCCCTACTCCTGTTACCATGTGAGTGACTGATTCATACTCAGCTTTAGAAATCCCATCCTTCATGCTACACTTGCAAAGAGATTCAGCAAGTTGTTCCCTTCTGCCCTCTGGACTATACCACGCCATGCCAGATAAAGTTTAAGCACCACTTTTCCTTACTGAAGATCGTTTGCTCCATTACTGGAAGAGAACTTACAACGGTGTGGGGAAAAGCACTAATCAGACCTATTTTCACACTCGTCAGATGGTTTAGGGTCCAAATACTTCTTACCCCATTTGGCTGTATGGCTTTAGTAGATAACGCCATTATCTAGTCTGCATTACGTCCTGCAGACCCCACAGTATCTGAGTAACACAGTTCTCAAAATAGGAATCAGCTAATGTTGCATCTTACCTTTTTTATTTGATCCTCTTTTAGCTTTGTGAAATGGAAAGCTAGCAGGTGGACGGCGAACATTTTCTTGAAGCGGATGGATGAGTCAGTAGTGACAGAGCTGCTGTGAGTAACTCCAAAGCGACAGGTCTTTATTCACGAAGCTGGAGCTAGAGAAACTTCAGCTGAGGCATTTCCCCCAGGGTGAGATAGTGGAGTTCCTGGGAAATTGAGTCCAGAAATAAATCCATCCAGTGTGATTGGTTCAATGATTAAACTTCTGTCTCTTTGTATCACCCCCCCACACATCAACCCGAAGTCCCTCCCTCCCCAGCTACACACTTCATTGTGCCAGAGCAGGCACCTGGAGAGCTGCCAAGCTGAAGGGGAGAAAAATCGATTTTGTTACTGCCCCACTTGGGAATTGTTACCACTTCGCAATGTAGTTGCTACGCAGCCTGCCCTGCTTCACCCTGCTTCCTTCCCGAGGGGCTGACAAGCTCCCACCAGCACGGCGTGCAGCAAAGTGCTGCAGGGAAGCTGGAAAGTTAGAGAGGATTTTAGGAGGTTTCTTCCCCCTGCTCAGCACTCCCACTTGCGAGACAAGCTCTTCTGCATGAATTAACTCCGCTCCAGTTCCACACAGCGCACCCTTATCTGCGGCTTTTTTCCAATTAAGCTTCAGCGGTGGAAAGGAGCAAAGAGGCACGCAGACCCCTGCCCCCAGCTGAAATACCTCTTGCGTAATTTCTAGCAGAGAGGTTTTGTACAGATTATTCTCCCTCCACCCCTCCTGAAGACAAGGTTTCAGACCAATGCAGATCCTCGGTATTGCAAAACCTGGGGAGGGGACAGATTTACCTGGCAGCCAACAGTGTTGGTATCAGACTGGCTCACTTGATAAAATGCCTTCAACAGGCAGCACAGAGTGCCTACAGCAAGAGCAGCTTCCTTACACCACCAGAGCCGAATCTGACACAGCCTTTAACTATTACTCTCAAAAGTTCATTCATGAATACACAAGCGCTTCCAGGATTTTGTCATTGTATCAAGTGATATGGACTATGGAAACATCATCCAAAAGGAAACTGGGTGAAATGTTGACACAAAGAGAAACAAAAAAAGAGTGGAGGGAAAAAAAAAAAAAAAAGCTTTCTCATGGAATAATTAGAGGCTCAAACTACATCTAATACTCAGTAATACTCAGTGTGTCTCCCCCCAATTAATGTTCAGTATTTCAGCTGGAACTAAGCACACTTACTGCACTGGCAGACAATTGCCGCCCAAAACTCTGCAGAACAAGATTACAATTAAAAATTGTTTTGATAAATTAGAAAAACAGCCTCCGGGCAGGGGAACAAGAGGGAGATGGAAAGGGGAAAGGGTGCCAAGTAACGTGCGGAAACACAAAGAACTACCAAGCAGAAGTAGAAAATTGTCTACACAGATCCAGAGCAGGGCAGAAGCAGTCAGTTAGCAGAAAAGGATCTCAGGCTATTTCAATTTCTAGCCTGAAGTAGACCCAACAATCTCATGCTATTATAAAAAAAAAGTATGACTGATCATCATTCTGGGCTGTGTGAAGAGGAGTATAATTCACAGGCAGACAAAAGAACACTCAGCTCTAATACTCCGCGCACCGTTCTCGGGAAGAGGACTCTGCCCAGTCCTGGCAGCTACAGCACGTCAAGAAGGCTTGGATCAGGAGGAGGTAGCTCTGCTGAACATCAGGAGCAGTCACAGGTTACATTTTTCAGCCTCTGATCACAAGGAAAAGACTGAAAGAGCTGACGGAGGGGAAGGGGGGAAGGGAACTCCCTCTGCAGAGACAAATTATACAGAACCTCTACTAGGAAAGGTTGAGGTCTTTTTTTTTTTTTTTTTTTGACTCCTCCCTTGCATCACGGATGAGCTCTGGACACTGGGAGATCCCGCCAGCTCTATTAATTTTTCACTATTCTAGAATAAGAGTAAAGCAGACAGAGTGGCTGAACAGTCCATAAATAGGGCTTGTTCTAAAATTAGGCCTTTGATCTTCAAGAGAAAGGGAGAAAAGAAAGAAGAAAAAAGCCAGGCTACCAGCCAGAAAGCACGGTTCACTTCTCCTGTATTCATCTTTTAATAACTGCTGGCTCATTAAGTCAGACACTGACTCCCAGAGGGACTGTCTCTTTCCTCTCATTGTTTACCCATGCCATCCGAGTCACAACCCCTCTGGCCAGCAAAATTGAAAACATCACCTTTCAAGCTCCATCCCACTTTGATCCAGAGCTCATTGTGTCTGTAATACAGTAGATTTATTTTTCATTCTCTCTTTTCTTTCTTTCTCTAACGGATGCCACTGGAAAAGGGTCTCAAAGATCTGAACGTTACTAAACTGGCAGCAAGCTCTGTTAAATACCTGACATGTCAGAATCACTGCGTAACTTGTTCGCTCATCCCTGGTGCATCCTAGCTTCAGGCAGGCTGTTGTGCAAGAAAAGAAAAGACATTATCTCATTTCCATGCAGACAGCAGTTCAGTGCACTAAGGGCCCAATACCCTAATATGTTACAACCATTTTGTACATATGCTGGGCCAGCACAGGGGAAACAATCCAGGACCAAGTGAACAGATCAGCTCCAATTGCATGCGGCTTGGAGGCTTGAGGCAATGTTGGTTTCTCCCTTTGTTCAAGCTGCACCCAATAAAAGCTGGTCACAAACCCTCCCTTCTTACCCTTTTGCAAGGGCCAGCAAGACTTCAAAGTTACAATACTCCTCCTCTCTACTTTCTTCTCCTGCAGTTCTCCCTCCAAACTCTGTCTCAAGGCACAATGGAGAATCCTGAAGAGGCTGGTGCTTGGGTCCCCCACAGCCTTGCAGTCAATGGTCTGCAGAGAAAAGGAGCCAGCTACAATGGGGAAATTCAGATAAATGTCTGAGTGCATCAGCTAAACATGTACCAGTTGCCTCCAGACAGAGGTGTCGCATTAATAAGCATTTTATTGCTGGAGAAACACATCTATCTTTGGTGAGGTATCAGAGGCAGTGGCAACACCGGTTGCCGAGTTTGGCATGCAGGTTAAAAAGGAGACAGTGGATGAGACTACAGGTGAGTCATCAGGAGAAATCCTTCTTCATTATAGCTTGTGCTTCCAAGACCAACCCTTAGAACACGGTTCCCCTCCTAATAGCAGCAGCTTTGTTCCCCATTATATTTCCACAAGTTCATCAAAACTCACAACAGAAAGGGGTTCCCACATTTGTCCTGCATATGCCCCTCTCAGGGTATTTTCAGGCTGCAAAATAAGGCAGAACACCTGAGCGGACTGTGTGGAAAATTCACTCTAAGGACAGACACTACTTAGAAGGGATGGAGACAGCATGCACAGGAAAGAGCACATTGGCTTAAAAGAAAGAAGGCTTTTTCCAAGTAGTGCTGTTACGATCAGCATTTCACATTTGAAACATAACAAGTGAACACAAAAGAACTGTGAAATCAACAAACGTCCAAACATCTGTAACCTGAATGCCAGAAATTAATCTGGAAATGTGAACACCTGAAATAAACAGTTTTGCAAATGCAATTCTCACAGATCCAAATGAACAATGTTGCTGATGATGTTAAAAAAGTTTCAGCACAGCTCCATGAAGAAGAGCAAGAAGCCACTCAATCCTCCCCCAGGGGCTTGCTTGCACAGGGCAGGTTAAAAATGTGCAGCTGGCATAGCTTTGCACCACACCAGTCCGGATTGTACCACATGGGACCAATTTGGCAGCCATTCTAATGGGAGTCAATGACAGCCACACTATTAGCTCAGAAGAAAAGAAAACTTTTTATGAAAGTCAGCCTGGAAATGCCTGAATAAACTTCAGAGCTCTTAAAACAGTTACTATGGAGTCCCTATGGAAACAAGCAATGAGTTAAGCCAAGTGCTAATCTCAGCAAAATACAAAGAATGCTTATAGTCATTTAGCTTCCTTATTGCTGCTCAAACACAAGGCTGGCTTATACCCGAAGTCCCAGCCATTCTTTCCTTGCTCAAAAATGTACACTAGTTCGCAGCTAAGCATACAAATAAAGGATAAATTTATCAAAACAGACTAGAAGCAAAGTATAGTAGCAATGCGAGGCTCCTGCAACCCAACCCCACATGCACTGGAGAAAACAGGAGTCGTTCTTGCACAAGTGTCGTTTCAAACAAGTGGTTTGCAGATTCAGCAAGGAACCTGCAGTCCAAGAGGTAAGTGGGCAAATGCATGCTGTCAAAACCCATCCGCAGGCTCAAGCAACTACAACTTCCCTTCGAGTCTGTCAAGTGCAAAGGACACACGGAGGCAATCAATACCACTCTATCATGTAATCCACATCACACAAGCTATTTGAATAGCATCAAATAGAATACATTTGTCACAGTTAATCGCAAACTCGCATTCTGTGCAAGTCATGTTGCTGTGAAGCACAGGCTGTCAGGACTCTGGGAAAGCAAAGCAGAATTACTCATCTGCAACGCAGAAAATTCAGGACGTTCACATGGCCACTGCCACGCATGCATAGCTGCTTGGTTTTTCTTGCGGGAGGAAAGAAAGATGGGGCTTTGCGGGGGAAGAACCTAAAACTTTCTCTCCTCACCGGTCTGGTAGTGAAATCAGCAGGAGATCATGTGGACTAGAAACATTTCCACACTGCTTTGCTTTTTACTAAATAATAGGGAAAGAGTACATGAAATACATTGAAAACAGCTGTCAAAAGCATTATTCAAACTGCTGTAGACTTGCTTCTGAACAGCAACTCAAAGGATCAATACTAGGAGGAAGCAAAGGGGATTCAGAGCAAACTTTCAACCTGCAGAAATATGTGGTTGATCATTTTAGAAAGTCAGGTACAGTGAAATTCAACCTGGCTTTTACAAGTATCCCAACATTAACACAAGCACGATCTGCAGACTTTTATATAGCTAACCCCAGAAATATGACTGCTGCAGCATTATTCTCCTCGGGCAGCCCCAGCAACATGACCTAGAGCTGAAGCCCATTTCTGTGAATACATGGCAGTTTCACCATCTGATTCTTTCCACTCTCCAGTACCCTTACTGGGATCTCAAAAGCACATCTTAATGCTGCTCACACTAAAAACAAATGACAGAGCATCTGCATGTATATGAAAGAGGCATAGCCTGGTGGTGCACTACCTTGAATGTTATTCAGTAAGACTGCATTAGGAAAAGAAGTCTTCTTCCTGAGAACTCAGTTCCAACAAATTAAACCTTCCTCCCGGTGGCAAGCACCTAACTTTTCCAGTTTATGATAGTCAAAATAAAACAGGTCTGTGGAAATACTACTGGCACAAATACCAACCCACAAGCTGTTACTTAAACTATAAGCTGTTATGTGAGCTTAAGTATTTTAATGTCTCCTCTCAAAATTCGGGTATCGCAAACAAGCCGATATATGAAGCAAAACAACACTTATGAAGTGCAACAGAACAAAATAACTTGAAACTGAATCAGAAAAGTCAAGGAGGAGCAGACATCTGAATTTCTCAAAAGTAAATAAATGATGCCTATTCCTCTAACATCTCCTTCCCCTGCAGAAATCATAATCCAAC